TTTCTGGTCCAAAAACAAACATTGCTCTTATGCCGCCACTGATACGCTTACTTCCAACTGAGTATAGCACCCTCTATACAGGGCTGATAAGAGCATGTGCTATCGCCACTCATGCCATGTAACCAGAATCTATCACAGTCGTGACTCTTGATCTTCAGCAATACGACATGGCCATGAAGTTGTGGATGGAGCTTGCAGACATAAAGAAGCAGTTCCTATTTCAGCCTGGTGAGCTACAGATCATCTTCTGGGCACTATCTGCCCTGGGTAAATATGTGGAAGGAAGTCGTATTGACCAAGCATGGGTCGACGCTGGACTATACTCCCCAACAACAGTAACACCGATCCTCAACGGAAAACACATATATCCGGCATTGGAATCTCATACAGTAACCTTGCTTGCTTTGTATAGCTTATACTTCCGAAATTCCTTCCAACTTAAGCCCGAGGAAGAAGTCTTCTTGAAAGAAACCTCCACTCATTTGAGAGAAGCATATCTAAAAGACCTCAATCTGGGACCAGGAAGCAGACATAACCTCAGCGATGCTGTTACAAAAACAGTTGAAATGTTTGAATCTAAGGAAATCTTCGAAATCATAAAACAATCTGCAGGCAGTGCAAACAAGATTCAGCGATTCATCAGCAACTACATGAAGCAGTTCGAGAAACCAGGCAGCGAGACACTCATAAAGTACTACTTTGCCCACGACCATATAAACATTATTATTATAAACATTATTATTATTATTATTATATACATATTATTTACAATACAAGACACGGAAAAAAATCATCCCGAAATATGGGCAGTATTTGTGAAAAGGCAACTTCAGTGTCACCAAAGGCATTGCTGGATTCACATCTATAGGTCCAGACCATGGGATCGAACAAGAGAATCGTGAACTCAAAGTTGTTGGTGGGATAGTAGGAAAATGAAACGCAAAATGAAAAATCACTGGACAAATATTTTCTCATTGCAACTGAACTGTCAAATGACAACAATGAGAAAATAACACAGCATCATGAACTCACAGCCGGAAAGCTCTCTCGTGTCACACAATACGCCAGTAGACTCAGTACTATATTTCATCAACATGAAAATCCATTTGAATCATCTAATGAGGATAAAATTTACCACCTGCTCACCAAGGAAGTTATGAATGAAACTGCTTCCAACAGCATCATTTGCCATGATCACATTGCTCAACAGATGTCTGAAGGTTTTGTCACAGAACGCCTGACAGAAGGAAAACTTTCTGTGTGGGACAAAATGACTAAAAGAAAACTTGGAAGATACAAAAGTGCTAATGCATCAACAAAAATCAGAGTAGGGGATAAGATGGTCAAGATCAAGGAAGAGCGAGGACTCTTGTAACACTTCATCATTATCTCCAGAAGTAGACCAGATAAGGAGTGCATTGGAACCACGATACCACGATCATTATTTGCTGCAAATGGGTCACTTCTGCTAGCCTATGATAAGGTTTCAATACTGCATCATTTAATACTGAACCAAAGACTGGTGCTTCAAGGCATTCATGTCTTGTGATGATCAAATCTTGGTTTCACTATCAATGCTAGGAAATGCCCCCTGATGCATGCTCCCAACTGGAACCCTTCATTTGTGTGCTGTATCGATAAAAATCAACACAAAAGTAAATGAGCTTCGCTGGTTCCTCTACTCAAATCGTGCAGCCGAAGGAGAAAACCACCATCTTCAGGTTCACTGGAATTGCATATTTGTCACGGGCACTACATAGCCATGATTTGAAAGAAAGCTATTGAAAATCACTCAAGCCTCCCAGCACCTACTGCATTTGGTTGGACGCTTGACGCAGGTTCAAGACACTTCCCTCCTGTTCGATGTAAGAATCCACCAGCCCCTGAGGCAGTACTGCACCTAATAAAGTGCAGATGCAAACGTGGGTGTGAAGGAAGGTGTAGTTGTCACAAAAACAATATCCCCTGTACAGAAGTATGTGGCTAACCAAGGATAAATGAGGAGTGTGAAGTTGATTGATGTCTATTGCTAAATCTACACTTGCACTGCTGTATATGTGACTTTGTGACATTTTTTTCATTTATACAATAACTTAACAATGACTAACGTTGTGTTACAATAATTGTGTAGATTTGTTTTTTTGACTTTATCATGCAATGCATGCCATGTGAGCAATACATTAGTTTAATCAAACAGCTATTTTGTTCATTTCAGAATGGAAGCCATCTTGACCTTAGGCATGTAAATCATAACTTTAGCCTAAATATTTCATTGCTTTCCTCATGTCAAAAAACATATATCACTAGACACTTTGTTTGTAGTTATAACATGTGTATGAGCGAATATATTCAATTATTGCTAAACGGCGGCCATTTTGGACGCCATCTTGGATTTTAGACCCTTAGGAAGTGAACAAAAAATGACACCCGGATTTTTATTAATGCTTATGATATCTTCATTCAAATTATGGTGAGTTTTTGCTTTTTACCAAAAAAAATACACGAAATTACAAATGATCCTAGACTATAAAGTAAATATCGTATTTATTTTATTATCACGTGTGTGCCAGCTGATTGTGAGGCAAGGGTGCAGCCCTCCGCTGGCAAGTTCATGCTCACAGTCTTCTGGGACCAGGACGGAGAAGTGATAACAGATTTCCTGGCAAAAGGTACCACAGTTACAGGAGCCTATTACGCTTCACTTTTGATGAAATTAAGAGAAACTATCAAAATCAAGAGGCGGGGCAAGATCAGCAAAGGTATCCTCCCTTTGCAGGACAACGCTTCAGTCCACAACTCAGAAGCACGGGCTTGTGGCTATGAAATCCTCCGCCATCCCCCTTAGTCTCCAGCACCCTCTGACTTTCATCTCTTCCAAGCCATGAAGTTGTTTTTCAAAGGAAAGCGTTTCCCAGATGATGCAGCCTTGATTTCTGAAGTTACGACGTGGTTGGAGGACCAACCTTAGGTGTTCTACAAAAACGGTGTCCAGACTACATCAAACAATGGGAGATATGCATAACTCTGGATTGTTCCTATGTAGAAAAAGACTAATAACTGTGCCAAGTTTCATTAATCTCCTGGCTATGGGTCAGGGGCATTACTTATTGAACGCCCCTCGTACATAACACAATGACTGGTCAATATAACAGCTTACAACACAATACAATGACCTGCCATATGATACCATGGCTTATATACATAAACTTAAATTTGAACTTAAAATCATCCACATATTCTTTGTTTTCGTAAACTTATTGAATAAAACACAGACTTTCCCAAAACATACACTATTATACCACATGGTACAACAACTTACCACACAATACAATAACTTACCACGATACCGTGACGACTTACCGCACAGTTGAACAAATAACCATACAATATATCGAACTACCACGCGATACAACGACTGGGCCCCTTGATATTGATATTACAGTTTAATTCAGGAGGCTGTGTGATTCGACCGCTCTATTGCGAGTTCCATATCATGTACTTATTTGGATTTAGACTTCTTCAACTTTTCAGTAATCATTTAAAAGCAATTAACTAGTTTTATTTTTAGGGTGACCAATGTTGTTGCGGTTAACTTTCACATAATAACACATCAAAATGTGTCTTACGCACCATCCAATAAGACTCCTTTAAAATACAATATTACAAATGTATTGTGAATACTGTGTAACAATCGTGAACATACGGAGATCCATAGATTTCACGATAATAATAACGGCAAATACAAGTGATAACCACATTGGTGCGCAGTGAATACCCCCCCCCCTCCACGAAATATACACACATACATGATATGATATTGTTAATTACATTGGTGAGCTGACCCAATCCGAGTGGCCATGTATCGGGAGACCTTGAGTCAGTTGGATAGTTGGACATCGGAGCTCGATTGCCATGACGGTAAATCTAAAAATAAAAAAAAACATAATTAATCAACGTAAATGTTTACTGTTTACTTTATTTAAAAAAAAAATGTCAAAACACTGATCGAAAACTGTATAATGTCCTTATTTGGGGATGGACCTCCACGCGATTTCTGAATACTTATTAATAGTGCCCTTATTATAGTCGCAGGTAGGGGTGTATCCTACACGTGCGCAAAGTTGGATGACTATTTCAAACCACTGCAAATAAGTAAGCTTCTATAATTTATTTACAATCACAGAATTGACAGTTTGCTATGCGAAATATTTGGCATTATTCTTGTCCAGTCAATCCTGTATAATAAATAACTATAGCGACCATTTTTAGGTAGTCTTGTGTATAAAGCCTACCTGCCGTACGTGACCACCCTTTCAGCAATATTTTTCAACTAAAAAAACACTGCAAACGCATTATTTTCTGGACAAATATGTAAAATGTATGAGTTTTACAATTCATAAAGAAATATCCAACCGAAGTATAAAGACCACACCGGTCTATAAAAAGCACTTCGAATAAAGTCACGTGGGTGGTCGTTATATACACACTGTTACAGTGTATGTAAAAATAATGAGGTAATTAAAAAAACACGCTTGGAAATCAGCTGTAACATTTTACAAATGTATGACAAAAAGGCATGTAAACGATATTCTTTCTTAAATTCTTTGCGTCAGTTTGCAAAGCAGAGTTGGCCAGTGTGAAATGATTTCTGATGTCAACTTGTATGACCAGCGTCAAGGATCTGACAATTTTACAACAGCCACCTGAATCAAGGGCATATCATAAATTGAAAATGTCCATTAATTTTTACAATTGATGTGAATTGTCTTATTTTTAAATATTTTAAATATTCCTACACGACAATCACCGGACTTTCATGCTTGGTGTCACACGTGACCTACTGTCAGTAGTATAGCGACGACACATTACATTTTTTAAGAGTAATTTACACAACTATATTATACAGCGGATATCGATTCATCAGCGTCCACGTAAACATAACTTACCACATGGACCATTTCCAGCGTTCTCTCGGTGGCACAGGTCGACAAAGCGGCAACCAGAGCAACAACAATCCATTCGATGAACACCCTTGTATCCATGACGAACTCGTAGTGTCAACGTCCCAGCATTCATTCCCCAATGTCGTTATGTTGTTTCGGGGCCAACTCTAGCTGAACCAATCACTAATCTGTTTACATCCAACAAAGAATATAGGCTTTAGTTGAACCAATCACTATTCTGCTTTACATCCAAAAAGGAGTATAGGCTCTGTTCATCGTCTATTGGAATACTGATGTTAGTACAATGAAGTTGCAACACATAAAATGCAAGAAACGTGATTAAAATATGGGAAATGTGCAAATATATTAATTAAATAAAACAATGTAATTCAAACTATTGTATCTCTCTACAATATGAACTATCTTCCCCAATAGTAAAAAAAGCCTGGAATGTATTCACTCAATCCAATCATTTTTTTGTTTGCGTGTAGAGTTTGTTTATTCAATTTTATTTCTCTGTTTGCTTGGTTGAAATTTACATCATATGTAGCTTAACATTCCTGCTCTGAGTATAAAAATAACGACAGATGTAAAGAACGGCTAAACCGTGCTAACAATAGTATACTCTGCCAGCTATGGTAGTACACACTGTGTGTTAAATTATAAAACATCTGATTTTGTAATCGAATTAGTGTTGCAATGATGAAAATTAAGCACATTGTAAAACATACGAGTATACATTTTTAAGGTAGACGTCTATACATAGTTTTTGAGGAAATTGGTCATAAATTGCATGACAATGTTTATTAGTTGATTATGTAAAATCATGAAGATATTGTATCATGAAATACCATTCTTTTAAAAAAAGCGTATTTTGAGAAACGTGTCCTAATATTTTTTCAAAAATCGCTATTTTTAAAACAATTCCATAAAGCATAATGTTAAACAAAAATTGCGTTTTTTGAAACTTTCTAAAACCCAGATTTTTGAAGTAATTCAGGAAAACAAAAAAAAACATCATTAACAATATATTATTTTTTCAGCCTATGTCACCAGCCTACAATTTGAGATATTGTATAATATCTCTGCCATAGAAACATATGCCAAAATGGCCACTATCCACTAAAATACAACGGCTTATTGTAATCGAAGAAACGAAACGAAACAAAACGGATGACATACATAATAAAAAATAAACTGTGATCAGAGAAAATGGGTTTATGCGCACAACATTTACAAAATATTTGCCGAAAATAACAATATTTTAATTAGTAAATGGCTCGTTTCGCTAATTACAGATAATTAGAAATCTGTAATCAGCGAAACAAGTGTTCTACGCGTACAGTATTCACAACTGTCGGACAAAACTCGGCCAGTATATTCATCTTTCAGTCGTGTACATAACTACATAAAACATTTGCCGAAAATAACAGGATATTAATTAGTAAATGGCTCGTTTCGCTAATTACAGATAATCGGAAATCTGTAATCAGCGAAACGAGGGTCTTACACGTACAATATTCACAACTGTCGGACGAAACTTGGCCAGTATATTCACCTTTCAATCGTGTATATAACTACATAAACATTTCGACTCGGATAATAAAAAAAACAAAATAAACGCAATCAAAGTCAACGACCAACTGAAGCGCGTTGGAAATAAATAGAACATGTAGTCTCACCAGCATCTTTAACTCACGCAAATGCACATACGAGTGCCACTTCCGTATATTGAATACGTTGGCAAATATAAAAAAAAAACACCGGAAAGGAAAGTTTAAATCATGTTTGTATTGACACAACAAGAAAGCAACAGTCTCACGGAGAATATATGTTTAACAATCATTAAACTAAACATTCAATGTTACCGTATATACATGAAGCGGACTGTGGCGGTTATTTGACCCGGACGGAGGACACGTGACAGTACTACTAGTATTATGCTCGTCTACTAGACCATGGAACTATAAACCCCATATAGTTTATAGTTCCATGACTAGACGTTCAAATATCCAACATTCCGATAAAAAACTCGTATTATTAGTTGTCATCAGACATACCTCATATCCCTGTACAGCATTTTTTTAAAACAATGTCTCACATTTCCGAAAGAATATTCGAATAAGTTGGGGGTAATTATGAATTGGATATCCATATGATCAGCGAAACAGATCACCACCACGATTATGGCGAGTTATCAACGAAGACGACGTCTCCGGTCATGAGCAGAGTTTGCTGCGTCATGGAAAAATGTTAAAAGCGAATCCGTGTCGGAGGAACCCTTGACGATGTTTGCATGGAAAATCTCATGTTAATTAGCTAAACGAGCAAGTTCGGTATTTTGCGTATATTTAAATTTCGACAACTGCAAAAACAATATGCGCATGTCCATATACTTTGTTATGAACACCGGGGTAGCTGAATCCTGATTAATTCATTAATATGATTCGGTAAAGGTCAATTTCCTGCAGTCCTTCAAGATAGCTTTGAGTGGAGATTAAATTAGCCTCCGAAAATCTTTCTAACGCTGGTCTTGTCATCCGTTTCCATGTGCATTTTTCAGGAAGTCGACATTTTACAATGTTGAGCACTACGATAAAGATTTTCCGTTTTCGACAATGTGAAATTCTTTCCTTTTTTGGGAGAAAAAAAAACCTGAAAAAAAATGATTTTGACTAGATAATTCAGAAATTTATATTAAGAATAATTCATAACGAAATGTGTTCCCCATGCACCCTTAAATAATTTTCATAATTACTGCTTACATTAAAATATTACAGAAAAAAAGATAATTTGCTATATTCTCTATATATATTCTTGACAGAGGCGGATTGGGAGTGAAAAAAACGCCCTGACAAACTTGCAGAGAGAGGTCCATAAATTATCATACTACTTAATACATAATACTTTTACAAATTGTTTCCTTGATGAACTGTTCTTTTTATATAAGTATCAATTACCAAAGTAACTGTTCGAAATGGATAACAAGTCAAACTTGTTGTATAAATTACCATAAACAACAAACTCTCCTCCCCTAGAAAAAAAATTAAAACTACGCCACAGAAATATTACACAGATGCGGTTGAAAATTATAAAGCTATATATAAATAAATCCCAGCTTATAAACCCGACTGTAAATATGTCAAAAAAACAAGAGCTTAGGCCTACTGTACATTTCCTAAATTATGGCTTGGTCAGTTTAGAAATACATTTTTATTGACAATCTTATTTGACTTTCCAATTTCTAAAATTATTAAGAAAATTTTTAAATGAAAACAATTTATCCCGATAAAGTAGACCAGGGCCTATTAATATCATCACGGAAAGTGGCATTTTTCTATTTGATTTTCGATTGATATAATACCAGACCGGGTTCTGGATCGCAGTGTCGTGTTTTAGAGAAGATATCCATGTAACAGTTGAAACCTGTGTGCTCATTTCGGTTTTGATGACAGCATTTGTTCACCTGAGTGCCAAATCATTACAGTATCGATCGTATGAATATATATACAAAAGTAGAAGGACTAGATATATTCAGAAATATATTATGATTTTTGAAAAGGGTAAAAAATGCCTATGTGATTGTCCACATCTAACATAATATATTTGTTTTTAAAAGATCTGATTTCACGCCCTTACGATTGAGACAACGACAGGCCCTATCTGAAGTTACTGCAGTCTGCCTTTAATACATATTCTATATGCTTGGGTACGGGGTTGTGTATTGCACTACACAGGCTGAACTCTGTTACTGAACGCATGTTGACAGTAGTTTACACAACACAACTTAAAGGAAACATCATTTTCTCAATTTCTGACAACAGATTCTATGATGTCATACTTTAATCATAATCATACCATAATCTATCATACCATAATCCTTTGCTTGAAAATCAAGATGGCCGACTACATCATACTGATGAAAAGTTGAATATCTAGAGAATGAAAAGTGATATCAAAGAACTGTAAATTGCATTCTCCTGCATTTGTGGAGCTTTTTCTTTAGAGGTCATTATGTTGTTTGGATTGATGTTTCCTTTAACATACACACGCATACAGACATATTGTACAAGTCATTTTAGTTATAAAGTTATACCACATGAAGTGAGGAAGCAGTGCCACTCTTATCGTTGAATCCTGTCCCTTCCAACACATTTGTCTTCCGCTACTTCGAATGCAATCAGATGCATCGTCACCCGGTGCAAGGCTCTGGTTCTGACTGGAATCGCCTTCCTGACAGTGTCCACTAACTAACAATATGGTTTTGTTATCAGTCAGTACCTTCCATGTATGGTTTTTCTCGCTTTTCTTCAGGTATCAAAAATGTTTTGAACAGTTTGTTAAGAAATGTTATATTTTCTTGTAATTTCAGAATACATCTTAAAAATTCTTTTTCTAGTTTTGACAAAAAGTTTTATTTCCATGCTAAAATTCCTTGTAATAATTCTTTTTTTTTCCCCCAGTATCAGTAGTGTCACATACCAAGTATCAAAGCAATTGTGCTAGCAGGTTTCAAGAATAAGTCAAAATATCTTACACCAAGTATCAAAACAAAGTTGGTAGTTTCCAAGATGAAGTTGAAAATGCAAATCTATGATGACATAACACCTAAAAAACAGTGTGCACAATATGATTAAAAAGTCGGTGATGTCGCTTGGAAAGTTGGTGATGTCGTCTGGAAAGTTGGTGATGTCGCTTAGAAAGTTGATAATGTCGCTGTAAAGTTGGTGAAGGTGCTTAAAAAGTTGACTGTTTAATGAAAAGTTCCATACTTTGATGTGGCGGGCTTAGGTCATAGGTCAACAGTATTTTTCTTATCGTATGGTCAGAGGTGACAAATAAGAAATAATATGGTGTTAGTTTCTGATAAAAAGAATACACAACAATACTTCAGACAAAGTCTTTCTTTATTGCGGTGTACATCTGTATGGCTTGATCGCACGATAAATAGAATATAGTGGCCACAGAATTAAAAACTATTAAAACAAACAATACTACTAAACAGACTACCATGTAGCATTAACCAGCTCCTTCTTATCAAAATTAATCATTATGTCCCTCTGATGTAATTGGTAAATAGACATATAACAGCAGTGAGGTTCAGTACTGGTGACTGGGTTGGGCTCAGTACTGGCAGCAGAGTTGGGCTTAGTACTTGTGACTGTGTTGGGCTTAGTACTTGTGACTGGGTTCAACTCAGTACTGGTGACTGGTGACCATCATAGCGCACACTGATATTCTTGATCTATAGTATTTCTTCTCCACATTCATAGCGTATAAAATCTAAGACTTGAACGCCCTCTTGCTGTAACAGTTCAGCTACTGTAATAGAAGGATCTAATAAAAATTCTTGTTTCAACATCTCAGTTTCATCAATTGTCCAACTTTGACTTGGAGTAGATTCCTCATCTTCACCATCCTCTTCATCTGAAATATTGGAAGGTACAAAAAATAAAACAAAGTGCTTGCATAGTACCAACCTAAGGGGTCACACATTTGAAATCATGGGGGGGGGGGGGTGCGACCTGTGCAGTTTTTTGTGGTGTCTTGTCTGTACCCCAATTTTGGTGTTCAATCAAATGAAGGCTTTGTACATTGCAATAAAAGCCATACCTGACTTCTTTGTTTCTTCGACTGGCTTCGTTTCTGAAACTGGCTTGAGTTCCTCAACAGGCTTAGCTGTACCAATAGACGTAGGACTCATACCTACTACATGCTGACCGAGACGACGTCCAAACTCCGAAACATTAAACGGTGCACCTATATCAAGGGTTCTCTTGAACGCAACCACAGCGCCATATTTACCAAATGCACATTTATTTTTACCAGCTGGTTGACCCTCTAGTGTTGAATGGACATAGCTGCCTAGAGAGAGAAGAAATTAAGAAGACTGTAGGACAAAGAAGTCAGACATAGGATGAAACAGAGAATATGAAAAGTAGGATTTGACAGTTTACAGAATAAAAATGGCTGCCATCTTACATTGGGTCACAAAATATAGTCATTATAAATGCATCCCAGAATGCATTACTGTCTTTGTGCCATCTTCTAATAGAATCTATCACATAATCTGGATTAACAATTTGAGCACCATGATTTTGATTTTGACATTTTTGTGCAATATTTTTTCAGATTTCACTTTTTTAATACGTGTGGACTAAATGGATATAATTTTTATATCAAGTACATGTATCGGCCTTGATTAAAATTATGTGGGTTTTATGTAGTGACAGATGGTGACAAAAATTTACTTAGGTGCTCAAAATTTTAACCTTTTCACCACAAGATCCTTCTTTCATCACAAATTCACAAAATAGTCCAATTTATAGTCTGCACTCTTTCCTTCAAAAGATTGAGACAAAAATAGCCAAATTTTTTTAGTAAAAGCTGTAAATTAACTTAAATCTAGTTTGTTGGCTCCAAAATTCGGGTTCATTTCCAGAAATATTGAAGAATTAAGAAAAAATCGCTAAATTTAAATACTGATCTATATTATTGATATGTCAAACATGATATACAATTTTCAAACTTTAATTCTATGTTTTTCTTTTATAAAATGAACTACTGTAGAATACTTTATTTTCGCTTGGAATTTATTTTCGCTGAAGGGATGATTCCGTGAAAATAAAATCCAGCGAATATACATTTTTCCTATATTTCACATTAAACTCATCAAAAATCAGTGAAAATAAATTCCATACAAAACGCCCAAAAAGCCTTTTCAGCGAAAATTATCTCCAGCGAAAATAAAGTATTCCACAGTATCTTTAAAATTAGACATTTGACCAATCTATTATATTTGTGTCTTTAGCAATATATTAAATGTGTCAAAACATTGATTGATATAGACTTACCAATGTGAACATCACTTGGTACAGATAGGAACACACCTCTTCTAATGCTGGCATTTTCACCAAGTTGACCAATTGTTAACACCAATAATTCTTGTAAACTTTTACTATCCTCTGTCGTAATATTGGATAATTCTTCACCTGAAATATTTGTCTGAGGAAATACTGACAATATTATACTGCAATCATCAAATACTTGGTAACAGCTTCACACATTAAAGCGGGGGAGTTGTCACCTGCGCATGCGTCAGATGGCCATAGCGTCTCATTGTTTACAAACCAGAGTCTACCCATGAGCCTTTGCATTTTTAGCGTGTGTTGTTATCGTCGCTTGGGACTCTATTCCTGCGCGTGCGCAGGTGACAACCCTCATGCTTTATATTAAATAAAAGCATGATTATTAATCCTTTGCAAGCCAGATATTTTTCCCGTCCAAAGTTATGTGTAAAAATTTTCACATTTTGTAAAATTTTCAGTAAATTTCATCATTATTTTGGACCATACAGACAGTTTTAGATATTGCTTTTAGTTTTTGATCAAAAGGTTTGTAAATTTTTATCAACGTTTCATGTGGGGAGAAGCAGAATGTACACAATCATTTTGTAGATGGTACCAACAGTTGACAAAGGGTTAAGGGAATCCCTGATTTAAAAGAAACAATTTGAAGTTGCATGAATTGCACAAGATAAACATGCATTTCGAAATCTTTTTGATAATAAGGGCCAACTTCTTCAGTGGGGTGAAGTGGAAAAAAGGGGAATACCTCGCAAGAGATTTTTGGATTGGTTTGGAATTGTGAACGCACTACCACGAGAATGGAAAAGGGAAGTAGATATAAACAAATTTGCTAACCCTGAGGTGAT